GAGCTGGGGAGAAAAAGCAGCACACTGATCTTCCCAATGATCTTCCCGGTATATGGCTGTTCAGGAAGAGGGGGGATTGAAGGCATGTCAGCACAAGCCTGATCCTTGGATTAGCCCCCAGCACAGCCAGAAAACTGACCATGCTGTGCTCTCATGTCTAGCATGGTCAGTTTTTAAATAGGAAAGCAGAGGATTGGCAGGAACACCAGGGATTTAACACAAAGGAAGCAATACAAAGAGAACAGGATACTTTTTCATACAAGTACATGGCACAACAGGCACATATCATGAATATGAAATGTTAGGTTTACATATTGTTTAAGGATTTTGAATGTTAAGAGATATGTCCTAAAATACTTGAGCAACATTTTTAGGACACATCTCCTATGTCCATCTCCTTTCACCTGCCACCATTCGCCTAGCTGCTATTGCCAGCAACTTCTGGCTATCAGAATGACAGCAGAAAATGTGCTTTATATTACAAAATGCAGCCACTTCTGTGCAAAATAACCACCACCTTTGCTAGGTAGACACAAAAAAAGACAATATATATGGACTTTGTAGGCAAATATGTGACACAAACATAGGTTACAAATTATATAATTTATTTAGAATATCATAAAAACATTCATACATAATACAAAAGCCAAAAACCAATACTTCTGTAGAATCACAGATGATGGAGCGTTGATTTTAAATCGACCCCCTTACAGTGGATGTGTACAAAAATCTGTAGTGGGAAGGGCATAACAGCTCTACACCCTGGCACAACCTTCCAACTATTGGAGTGATCCTATTCACCAGAGATTCAATGCTCCTCATGCTTCATGACCAACTATTGCTTCTTCAGGAGATATTGTCTACATGAAGGCAAAGTAAGCATAGCGAGAAACTTGGATACAAATCATTTTGCCATAGGTATAAACATAAAGGTATACATGACTTACTGCAAATTTAAACAAAAATTATAAAAACAATATATATTTGAGCAAAGGAAACCCCAGGGCCGGTGACCCTACTATCATGTCGCATATGTGCCTACAAAGTCCATATATATTGTCTTTTTTTCATGTCTACAACTTGTTAGGACATGGCACAAATTTCACTACAAGTACCCACGGCTGCCACCCGTGGTTACAAAACACAGTATTTGAACCTTTGCCTGGTAACCACAGGTGAGAGCCAGCATTTTGAAGAATTAAGAAGAAGTAGATCTCTAGATTGGGAACTTAAGGAAACATTCAGGAAGCAAGGGACGCTTGCAGGTGTCACTTGCAATGGAATAGGGAGAGCGAGCATTACATAAACAGCAATGGAGAAAAGAAAGCAAGCTTAGCACATGCGAAAAAAAGGAGGAAGGGCAAGTCAAGCGCAGATGACCCTGGCAATGTAGTTTCCAGCATCTTTATCTTCTCTGGTATGACTGGCACTGCATGTAAATCACATCAAAAACACACTTCCAAGAATGAAAAATGTGAAGGTGTGAATGGATACCTTGTAGGCAAAGTTCAAACTATCCAGGTGTTTCTTTGCAATTGTCTTAGAATGGGTGCAAGTTGAGACTTGATACTTAAAGTGTTACTAAGCCCACAACAGTAAAATCAGTATGTATACCCAGTAAAGTGTGCTTGTTATACGCACTGTGGAACCTAAGGGGTTAATCCTCCACGAGGGATTAAAAAGGCTATTTGATCCTGTGTTCTCTGATCATCCCCTTCTTCTACTGTCCCCAATCCATCTGCTGATAGTACAGAGCTATAGGAGTCACTCTGTACATGTTCAGTTTAGGGTGTATTGCTAGAGAGTTTTTGTTTTCTTTGGGAGGTTGCATGTGATCAGCACAAGGCCAATCAGCACTGTCCAGACAGAGGGTCAGGGGTCATGCAGCCTCATAGGACAGTCAGAGCAGAATGAAAACTCCTACAAGCTTTAACCAGTACTCTGGACACTGATAGAAGACACAAGACTGCTATATACTGCTGATGAGAAAAGATATTTAGTAGTTTATATTTACCAAATTAATTGCACTTCCATGTACTGTGGGAGACCAGATATAGTGAATGCAGGGTTCGGGGTTTAGTAACACTTTAACTGTCATACCACCTCCCTTCTGCACAGATTTGTGACAGGCTGTTTCCACTGTCTGTTGTTGCTTCCCTTGTCTGTAAGTTGAGAAAACAAATTGCAGTAAAGGAAGATCCATTCTATTTCCAATTTCCATTCAGTCTGACTGCCTTCTTTTATTTATTTCAGATACACACATTGCATAGTGGACTTCTTTAACTAGCCATAGCATAGCTGGTGGACTTTTTGCAAGAAGGTCCTACATTTCATATTCTCCACAACTGTAACATTGCAATATCTCTGTTCAATTATATTTTATTCATAATAACTAGTCACTATCATTCCCACCCTCCATAAGCTTCTTATCCTGCCTTGTGCTGCAGCTAAATCTGCACATGATTACTTCTTGTAAACAGTGATCAAATTCTGAATACTCTGCAAGAAATATCCAGCTGTTCACTTTATTCAAACAAGACTGTAATCATGTTTAGTCCAAAATATTAGTTATCAGCTGTGCTTTACTAAATGCTGTCACGAGTACAATATTCAGTATACAGAACTTCTTTGCGCAGAAATGCAGTACTAAGTACTATGGGGCATGCAGGATTATCCTATAAAGCACTACAAAGGACACTGATGTGCAAAATCAGCAGCATATAGATTTTTCTTTTACACCATTGAAAATTATTTTTGCTCAAATACAGATAAGTGTCTGTGAGCCAAGTACCGCTGTCTTTTACTATAGTAGTAACGTATATTATAATCTCCTATAGTAGTATTACTTTGTGCAGGTTCTATACAGTAATTATCGGCAAAGAGCTGTGTATTTAGTATTGATTTCTGGAAAGATATAATAAAGAGCAAACAGGAAGCGCACACCCCTAGTGCATTATCCAAGGTTCATTATAGTATAAAAAGGGATGAAAAATGCATCAGCTAGTGGACCACACTGACAGTCAGACACCCCGCCATTGTTATGGCCATCTCCACCGTTCTACTAAGCTGTACATTCATGCTATGTTTGTGAGTATTTTTCATCCCTTTTTATACTATAATAAACTTTGGATAATGCACTAGGGGTGTGCGCCTCCTGTTTGCTCTTTTTTCAGTTGTTGATTTCCCTATCTGAGGAGGGCAGCATCTCCGAAAGGCTATCCATAGGCGAATTTGGTCCTGGCTCCCATGGCTTTCCTGTGGCATTTGATCCCTGAAGCGCTGGAGAGTTTAGTCTGTTATCCGGTTCTGGCAAAATATGTTTGACATTTGTTTTCTTATTTGGTGGTTTGGTTTTTGTGGTATGTTAAAAAGAGTGTTTTGGCCTATTCTTTTTTTTTTTGCCATTGTGTTACCCACATATTCCCACAACTTCCAGTCTTTTCCACATATTCCCATTGTGTTGCCCACATTTGTTACCCATATATAGCCACAATTGCCATTGTGTTGCCCACATTTTGAAATGGCCAGCAGTGTGTTTGCTATATATGCCCAAGTATGGGTGTATGACTAAATCAGTATATTTTGGTTTAGAAACCATATCATTACAAGTTACAATTCCAAAAAAGGCCTGCCATTATCAAATCAGGGGTATTAGGACTTGACATAGGGATCTTCACTCCAAAACTTCATTTGACCATCTCCACCTGCGCCAGTTACCAGTTGTCTGGTTTTGGTGCCTGTTGACCTGTATGCTGCTTTTACTTCTAATACTGTAGGTATGCACATGATTATCAAATCATGATCCCTTAAAGCAATGTTAATCTGGGTATGGCATCATACAGTATACAATGCAATTACTATGTTCACTTTTGCACATTCGTATGCGTACAGGGTTACAGATCTCCCCAGGTATGATAATGTGTATAAGAATGTAGCAACCATTGTAATGAAATGGAAAATGAATCTTGTGCCAGTAACTATGAATGACCAATTCATTAATCATCAGTCATGCTATTTTCTGTCGTCCAAAATAGCTTGGGGTCCAATCACATAATATTTTGCCCACAGTCTAATCCACACTGTTTTCTGCCTACTTTCATATGATCAGTGTTTGGAATGTAAACCCGCCAGTTTGTTCATGCTTCTGGCATGTATTCTTTATATTGTAAACACCATAATGTAATGACCGTGGCAGAAGGATGAAACTAAGAACAGATAAGCATGTCTATAATAAATCTCACCAGAAGCAACACAAATATAAATTATAGACATTGGATAGAATTGACCATTAGCTGCTATTCAGTATTTATTCTGTACAATATTACTGAATATAATGTTTTCAAGCTATTGCCTTCTTACTTGCAGCTAGTTAAAGAATCCTCAGGTATTTATTTATTTATTACAGGTACTGTCAATTTATGCAGTGTTTTACATATATATTGTATATTCACATCAGTCCCTAACCCTCAAGGAGCATACAATCTAAGGCAGTGATGGCGAACCTTTTTGAGCCCGAGTGCCCAAACTGCAACCCAAAACCAACTTATTTCTTTCAAAGTGCCAACACTGCAATGAAACCTGAATATCGAGCTTTTGGTTTAGAAAAAACAACTCGTACAGTAGTGCAAACTAATTAACAGTACAGGGATGACCAGAGAGATGCGGACAGTACAGGGATGACCAGAGACTGCGGACACAGTACAGGGATGACCAGAGACTGCAGACACAGTACAGGGATGACCAGAGACTGCGGACAGTACAGAGATGACCAGAGACTGCGGACAGTACAGGAGATGACCAGAGACTGCGGACACAGTACAGGGATGACCAGAGACTGCAGACACAGTACAGGGATGACCAGAGACTGCAGACACAGTACAGGGATGACCAGAGACTGCGGACACAGTACAGGGATGATCAGAGACTGCGGACACAGTACAGGGATGACCAGAGACTGCGGACACAGTACAGGAAATGACCGGAGACTGCGGACACAGTACAGGGGATGACCAGAGACTGCGGACAGTACAGGGATGACCAGAGACTGCAGACACAGTACAGGGATGACCAGAGACTGCAGACACAGTACAGGGATGACCAGAGACTGCAGACACAGTACAGGGATGGATGACCAGAGACTGCGGACACAGTACAGGGGTGATCAGAGACTGCGGACACAGTACAGGATGACCAGAGACTGCGGACAGTACAGGGATGACCAGAGACTGCAGACACAGTACAGGGATGACCAGAGACTGCGGACACAGTACAGGGATGACCAGAGACTGCGGACATAGTACAGGGGATGACCAGAGACTGCAGACACAGTACATGGGGATGACCAGAGACTGCAGACACAGTACAGGGATGACCAGAGACTGCAGACACAGTACAGGGATGACCAGAGACTGCGGACACAGTACAGGGATGACCAGAGACTGCAGACACAGTACAGGGATGACCAGAGACTGCGGACACAGTACAGGGATGACCAGAGACTGCAGACACAGTACAGGGATGACCAGAGACTGCGGACAGTACAGGGATGACCAGAGACTGCGGACAGTACAGGAGATGACCAGAGACTGCGGAAAGCACAGGGATGACCAGAGACTGCGGACAGCACAGGGATGACCAGAGACTGCAGACAGTACAGGGATGACCAGAGACTGCGGACAGTACAGATGACTGCTGACCTTTGGGGAGGGAGGGGGAGCGGGTACCTGAATTTGACAGGTACCCGCTCTTACTTCCGCAGTTTTTTTTTTTATCTTACCTGTTCCTTTATCCAGCCGCGCGCTGTCTTCCCGGCTTCTGTAGTGTGGGCGCTCGTCGGACAGCCGGATGCCCAGTGCGCATGCGCGAGAAGCGCTGCGCTTTGTGATTGGTCCGGCGGCTTCTGGGATCTGTCATGTGTCCCAGGTACCGCCTTACCATTCACAAAGAGCACTGCTTCTTGCGCATGCACACTTGGGACCCGGCTGTCACGCACACTACAGAAGCCGGGAAGACAGCGCGCCGCTGGATAGAGGGACAGGTACGGTCCCACTGCAGAGCTGAGCGGCCAGCCCGGTATTCTGACACGGCGGCGGTGGAAATACCGGACCGGCCGCTCTATATTCGCTCCATAAGACGCACTGACATTTTCCCCCCTTTTTTGGGGGAAAAAAAGTGCGTCTTATGGAGCGAAAAATACGGTATTCTCCTGGCGTGCCCACAGATAAGGCTCGGCGTGCCGGCTGTGGCACGCGTGCCACGGGTTCGCCATCACTGATCTAAGGTATGTGTTTATGATCCCTTAAGAGCAGTCATGGGAGCTCCAGTGACAGCTCAGTTTTTCAATGGAATGTTTCAAAAGCAATTCTTACCATTTTAGAGAAATTGGGTGGAATCACATTTTATGTATACACATATTTGACACTGTCATATTTGATCAGCTACACTAATTTAAACTTATTTGTAGTGGAGCCAACACGTGTTTTATGGTACTTCAAGAAAGACAACTAGTTCATTTTAATAAATTATATTGCTTTCAATGATAACTTATAACCAGAATAATGTTACAATGACAGCAAGGTATACTGTATGTTATGTTATCATGTCTAATGCCCTTTCTAATCTATGAAAAATATGCGATTACCACACTGTATAATTAAAGCAGAACTCCAGGCAAATATGATTTAGCAAAATCTATAGTGTAAAAAAGGTTAACTCACATGAACCATTCACAAAATACAAGGTGTTCTGTGACTTGACAAGGTTAGAGGAGTGGCAGATAAAGAACAGTGCAGCTTCTGAGTATGAGAACTGCAGTGGGCTGGAAGTATGGTGAGAGCTATACTATCTGGCTTGAATAAAAGTGTAAATAGTAAGTCAGGGCCTGGACTGAGCGAAGCTAAAAGGGAGGGCCAGAATGACAGGGGCTTGCAGACCAGGCAAAGACTGGATTTGGGTGGGAGTATAGGAGATTGGGGATGGTTACTCACCTGATTGGAGCAATCGGGCTGGAGGGTGGTCTTGCTAGGATAAGGAGAGGGGCTGGAATTTGTCGGGGGTCAGTCAGAGCTTGTGCCAGCACGGGTGAGGTTTCTCCCGCCCTCCATTCCTGGAGCTGTTTAGTTGTTTTGCCTTCCTGTTTTGTTTGTTTGCTTTGTTTATTGTTTTTGTTCTTTTTGTGTTTGTCCTGCTTGTTTTGTGTGGGTTCCTTCCTTTGTTTCTTTTCTTGCTCACCATTTTTGACATCCTGTGGTGTTGTCTGTTTTCCCTTTTGTCATGGCAGCCTACAGGGGTCGCTGGGTCTTTGAAGGCGGTGCTGGAGTGACAAGTTGGTGGATTATGGGTTGGGCCCATCGTAGGTATGCGTGTCCCTTCCCAATTATAAGGTTGTTGGTAAGGTGGAAGGTCATTGGCTGTATCTGGGATTGCGTAACTGTAGTATTGTCCCCGAGGCGGTGTGGCAGTGGCTGGGGGCCTTTTCGTTGGGTGTCAGATACAGCCAAGTTATTGATGTGAGTAACAGTGCCTTCGAAGACCTTGGACCCGGTTGGGATTATTACTGTCAGTTATTATTATTTAATTGTACCAGAAGAAGTTTTATGTTATGTAAGAGTTATGTTAAATAAATGGGCTGCTATGGCCGTTTTTTTCACCAAAAAGGAGAGTCGCATGGTTATTCAGGTGGGGGAAAAGTTGAAGGGGGGTGGTTGTTTTTATGGTGTAGGTGGTAGGTACTAGCCTCGATATTCTGCATGTCCCTCAGTCAAAGAAATTACATGATTCTCATGTGATTTAACTTTTTTTACATTGCAGATTTTAATAAAAAATGTTTGTATGGAGTTCTGATTTGAAGCTCCAGACAACTTGAATTGAAGGCTAAATGTAAATAGCGTTATATAGATGCAGTCTTTTTACAAGTTACATTGTTTTACCGGATTATACTGACCTGATGGGTGACTTTGTAAAAACGTTGTCAGAATTTTTCTAGTGACACTGAGAATGTGTTATTTGATTGCTTCTAAATGATGGGCCGAACACCTCTCTGTTCAGTTTACAGTCGAACATTCGAACCTAACGAAAGTTCGGCCGTGAACTTTGAACTTTAATGCAACTATGGGACTCAAACTTGTAAATTCAAAAGTGCCCATTTTGAAGGTTTATTTGTAGGTTATTGGCCATAAAAGGGGTATGAAGACCGGGTACTGCCCTGAAGGACATGAATCAGTGAAAACATTTTTTTCAAAAGGTGTTAAGTCATTGCTTAACATAAAAAAAAAGAAGAAGAAAATTACATTTAAATATCCTGCCTAGGGGGGGTCCCCTTAAACTACCTGCAAAGTTGCACATCTGTACAATGTATAGAGGCCCTTTAGGCTTGGTAGGACTTTTAAGGGGAACCCCAACCCCATAAAATATGGTGGGAAAAGCATGGGGTTCACCCTAAAATTCCTACCAGACCTTTGATCCGAGCACAGGTCTGGCAGGTTAGGAAAGGGGGGGGGGGGACGAGCGAGCGCACCCCCCCGAACCTCCTGGGCCACATGCCCTCAACATGGGGGGGATGATTTGGGGTAGGGGGGCTCCCCCCAAAGCACCTTGTCCCCATGTTGATGGGGGCAAGGGCCTCTTCCTCACAACCCTGGGCTATGGTTGTGGGGGATTGTGGGGTGTGATATCTTTTTGTATGTGTACTGTATAGGATGGGATATGTAAGATGTTCCTTTCTTTCTCAGATAGGAATTGTGCAGTGGAGAGGACACTGTCCTGACAGGATGCTAATATTATGCATAAAGCTGCCCATGAATGATTCATTTTTTTACTTTCAGCCAGCAGACTAAATGAAAAAAAAAAAAAAAGATTCCTCCATGCACACAAGTGGGGTGGATGGAGGAATCTTCTCTGCTGGGACATTGCATTTTGTGCTGTTAGAAAATACTGATCAGTGGCTAATCAACAAAAGTTTTCCAACACTTCCATTGGCAACAAGTCAATCTATAAATCAACATCTGTCTAACAGGGATGGCCACAAATGGATCAAAATTCAGCTGATCCCTGCTGAACCGGCTGAATTTTTTTATTTTGATTTATTCATGGCCAGCTTTAGGCTCAATTCAGAAATCTTTAAAATCAGGATAGAAAACCTTGCTTTAGCCATGTGACTGTAGTTTTCAAATCTCACTGGACTTTGATAAAACAACTGTCAACTTTTTGAAAGTAAGAATCCTTATCCTAATGTCAGTTTTATCAATTGTTGTAAGAGTCTCCAAGGAAAAAACCAAAGCAGCTGTTGTTTTGCAGAGGCCACTTGATAAGGCGTGAGAAAATAGACAGGGTAAAATACTTTTCACAAACAGACTGGTAAAGATATTGTGCTAATAAAGGAGGGATATAGTCCAGCATCAGAATGAAATTGCCAACATGTTTTGAAGGTGAAGGACACTTGACAAGTGGGTGGTTTGTTGAATCCTGTTTAAAACTATGGGTGGGTTTAGTCGTAGTATCCAAAATATACTAAATTCTGGCCATTTTCACAGCTAATAGACAATCTATTGTCAAAAAAGGGTATGGGGAACTGGAAACTGCCATTAGAGATATTTACCAATGCAACCTTGAGGAGAACATGGGTAAAAACATCAATCCTTTAAAATACATGCTTGGGAGATATCTTTAATCTGTATGTGGTGTTACAGAACAGTATGACTTTCACGGACAGCACCGGTAACAACATATTCTGGCATTACATAATTTGATTTTTTTTTAATTTTTACATTTAGCATGGCTTAAATATAGCAGTAGAACCCCAATCTGATTTATTTCAGCTAGAAAGGCTTTTTCAGTAGTTTTTACTACTCATGAATCACCAGGTTTTTCTTTTTGTTTATTATTCATGTGGTAATAGGCCTGAATTGACCAATGGAAGTAGCTGCCACAACAGATTTAAAAACTACATTAAACTTTACTCGTAAAAAATAAAAATAAAACCCTCCACTTCAGACAAAATGAGCAGAGACACAAGGATTCAATAGTATAGTTGTTAAGCTACTTTTTTCACAGTACCACACTGCGTTGTAATGAAAAGTCAAAACTACAACATCACACTCTTCAAAATCTCTTGTATTCCCGAATCCATATGTATTGTCAAAATATTCCAAATATAGACTTCAGGCATGTGTCTGTTAGAAATTTGCTAGCACCAGGACAATGCAAGCACTTAAACAGGCAGCAAATAGAAAAAGACAAGGCAGGTTTTATCTTGCAAAACAAATTAGAGTGTTTTACCTGAGAGACAATACCCACAAATATCATTCAATGACTGGACAGTATGTAGACAGATTTGTTAGGCTGCAATATGAGGGAGAGACCAAGCAGATTTAATTTTTCTTGAAAAAAAATATTAGAGTGTATTATATGAGAGAAAATAGCCACAAATATTATTCAATGGCTGGACGATATGTAAGCAGCTTTGTTAAACCGCAATATAACAGGTAGCGACAAGACATGTTTTATCTTGAAATAAAAAAATAGTTATTATTTAAGAGACAATGGTTATAAAT